TGCTCTTCAGTGCACAATTTATTGATTATTTGCATTTTTTTTTTCAGTGTTTATGCTCATTTTTATTTTTAATTTGGGCACCACTTCAATTTTTGAAAGAAGCTTTCTCAGTTTTTAGAGCTCACCTGACTCTTATTTTCCTGGACTTTGTGGTACTTTTCCTGTTTAAAAGCATATATTCTAATTAAGCCAATTATTTTTGGGGGATGTTAATTATCTCCAAAATATTTGGCCATCTTGGCCATCTCATTTGGCTGATACTGTTGACTCCTCCTTTCATTTTTATTTTTTAGTTAACCTATCCCCTTATTTTATGAAGTTCACTTTATTAGGCCAAACATGAAGGTGTTGGACTTTTGGGGCAATTGTATATTGGTATATATGTTGAATTTAATAGTGTTATGATCTTCATTTAGTAATTTATCTGTCATGGGCATTATCATGAAGAAGGGTCAAGGTTTGACTGATAATGTTGCTGCAAATACTGTTCCCATTTTTCTTCTTTCTACTAGTTTTGTGTTGGCTTTTCTTAAGGCAATTTCAACTTGGAAAATAAATACATGAATCTGTGGAGCCTTAACTGGGCCCTTATTGCATTTTTGTATTTTATGGTATTAAATTATTTCTATCATTATACATTTTCTCATTTATTTAAAATGTATTCTAAAATATGATATAGTTAAGTGTTGGTATGCTAAAGTTCTCTGATTTCTCTGTTATTTGGGCTATGACTTAGAGTTAATTTTTGTTGGTATCATAGTCTTTTCAGAGTCTGGCTGAGCACCCAGTCTTTAAATGAAAGGGAATTAGGTTGATAATCCTTGCTTTTCTTTTACAATACAAATAGTCCTTATTTAATATTTAGAACTAGATTTTCTATCACTAAGCATTGTGATTGTAAAGTGCAACATCACATGACTGTGCTGTTTAGCAATGGCAGTTCTAGCACTTATGGCTGCCATCACTAATTGAATCCTGTGCTGTTGTAAAATGCAACATCACATGGTCCCCATTTATGACATCTTGCCAACTTCCACATTGACTTCGCACTTCAATGGAAGTGAAGGTCACAAATGGTGAGCAGATGACTGCAAGATATTGCAGTATAATTGTGAGTCACTTGCCAAGTACACAGATTGTGATCATGTCACCAGAGGGACACTGCAATGACTGTAACTATGAGGACTGGTCATAAATACCACTCATTGAGTGCTGGCATAACTTTGAATTTTATTAAAAGTCATTAAGCAAGTTCTACCTGAACCAATAGCATATGATTTCTGAGAACTATTTTGATCATAATATGTATACAAAAAGGCTGGATTCTTACATTGTTCTTGTAGTAGGTACCTGCACCTTATAAGGTCCAGAGATTTAAATTGGTTTAGTAATATATTCAGAGTTGACCTCTGATTCTCAATTTAGGTAAGTAAATCTCTCCCTTTGAGGTTGAATAGCAAGAAAAAAAATCTTAAATAGGAAACTTCTGCTAGTTGTGAGAAAATTAGAATTTAAGATGAAAATTATAGGATTAGGTTTTTCCACAGTTCAGAAAGCAATCCAATACACCCAGATTTCTAGAGAAAGTGAGTTAAAATTAGATGGTAAATTTGATGATTCTACTTTGCATGTGCTCAAGCCTCACCTGATTTGTTTCAAGGCAATATGAAGAACTCAAATCCAATATGAAGCACAGTATGAATATGGAGCATTCTACCTAATGTTTCTTTGTTCACTGTTTTGTGGTTTCTCAGCAATTACATATTATTTTATATGGATATTTCTGGTGCCACTTTTTGATTTAGGGAAAGGTATCAAATCTGTCAGTGTACTCAGAAGGTTTGGCTTCTGCAGATAGATTCCCGCTGATTATCAGATATATTGGGTCCTAATGCTTCTCAGGTAGCAGAAAGGAGAAAGCATGCTCCTTCTTTTGGCTTTAATCTCATAACTTGGTAGAAAGGTGGAAAAGAAAATGCTATAATAAATAATTATTATTATTATTATTTATTATTAATTAAATTTCTACCCCGCCCTTCTCCCAGCGGACTCAGGGCGGCTTACAGCCATTTAAAACAGGTACATAATACAAAAATACTAAATTTAAAATGTAATTAAAATAAAATATTAATTATTGGCCTTTTTGTTAAAATTATATTAAAACCAAACTAAGATAACCCTTAGGCCAGACCCGCTAGCTTAAATAGCCATGTCTTGAGGGCGCGGCGGAAGGAGGGGAGATCCGGAATCACCCGGATCTCGGGGGGTAGTTCGTTCCATAGGGTGGGGGCTCCAACCGAGAAGGCCCTCCCCCTGGGGGTCGCCAGCCGGCACTGTCTGGCTGACGGCACCCTGAGGAGACCCTCTCTGTGGGAGCGTATCGGCCGATGAGAGGTAATCTGAGGCAGAAGGCGGTCT